AAACTAATATTGCGAAATTGGGAAGTAGTTTGTAACTCTAAAATCTTCCACATTGAAATTCAAATTCAAGTCTCCAGAGGATAAGCAGATTTTATTGTGGAATAATTTCTCATTTAAAGAATGTATTTTAGCTGGGCCCAGTGGCATGTGCCTGTGGTACTAGCTACTTGGGAGGTTGAGGCAGGAAGATTCCTCGAGCCCAGGAGTTTGATTCCCCTTGGGCAACAACATACTGAGACCCCGTCTCTTGGGGGGAAAAAAAACAAAAACAAAACAAAGAACACATTCTCTAGTGGGATAGAAGCTGATGTTGTCTTATCATGGGCTCTGTACTGAATGGTCTGCTTCTTGTGGCTGTGCCTGAATATGTGACAGCCCAAATATGAAAGCCCAAGCACATTTTTTTACCCACTACTGGAACATTAATAATGTGTGCTTAAAACACAGTGCTTCACTTCATGATCACTCTTGGAGTCGTGCATGGTGATTTGTGCACTTTTTGGGTGTGTACTGTTAAATTATTCCCATGCTTGTTAATAACAGTAAGGGAGACTTTATTCAGGACTATTGTGAAAGGCATCAAGACTATTGGAAGAGGGAAGAGAAATTGGTCTCAATTCCAAATACAACAAGGACAAGTGGCCATTTATAGCCTATGAGCATACTGAGGGGGTTGGTGGCTGGAAAATTACCAAGGGAAGACATCAAAAGGTAGGGGGATTCTTGCTACACGGATTTAATAAGATCCTTGCTGAAAGCAGGCCAGGGTCATCAGATATTAAGGGTAAGGGATGAGGAATTTGATGAGATATTGAGAGTGATCAGATATTGAGGTCATGGGGGTTCTGGCTAAACTGGCTTACCAGGATTCTTTCTAAAACTGGAGTGTGTGGGTCAAACAAGGATGGGAGGAGCGAAGGTTGAGACTAGTTGAGAAGAGGTTCAGAGTAGCCTGACTAAAGGTTTGGTCAAGGAGAGAATCTTTGGCAATACATCTATGAAAAGATTTAAAACTCTGGAAAAATACTTCACAACCTCAGTGTTAGAAAATTGGTTTCATAAAAAAGCTGTGTTCTATAATATTAACCAAGTAATTTTGCAACATTAAGTTTAGAATAATTATGTTTTTCTGTGAAAACGTATTAATCTAAAATTGTTTATTCAGAGGGCTTTGCGATAATTTTATTCCTGTAAGGGTAGTACCTGAATTAATTTTTATTTTACATATTTAGAAAAATTATTCTGGACTGCAGCCTTTGTACTTAGGCTAAAAAAGACCTACTTTCAAGCTAGAACACCTTCAAATAAGAATCAAAGTATATTTTAAGAATTCATAGTATAATATGAAGGAAAAAGATCTCTCTTGGGAGTTGGGGGCTGGTTCTGTTTTGTCACTGTTCTTGAATGTCTGTCTTCTCCTATAAAGTGAATGATTCCACGCAGGTCTCTATCATAATGTCTGTTTTCTAGCATTTTGCATTGTACAATGTGTTTTTATGTATATATATATATATATTTCAAAATATTAAGAGTGTACACATGTTTTTGGTTACATGGATCGCTTCTGTCATACTGAGTCACGGCTATAGGCATGCTCATCATCCACAATAGTGTTCATTGTACCCATTAGGTAGGTTTTTGTCCCTCCCCTCCCCTCCCCTCCTCTCCCTACAATGTGCTTTTAAACACAAATGTTACTTAATCCTTTCAACAATGCAAGAGAAAGTGTTATTGTCCCTTTGTGGTAGTAAAGGAATTGTGGTACTTAGAGCTTTCTCAAGCTCACACAAGTGCTAAGTAGCAGGGATGGATCATACCCTCAAATCTTCTGAATTCAGATAGCAGCCTTTTTACTCAACATCAAAGCTCATAGATTATTTGTATCTATTGTCAGTTAATTTAAAATTTAACAGAGTTTGTCAGAATCACTTGTCTGGAGTAGAACTGAACTCTCTGGATAATAAACCAGCCTAATCTCCCTTTTCTATCTTAGATTCTTTTTGTTTTTCTGCTTATATTATAATGTATCAATAATCACTAAGATTTTCCTGTGGTACCACAAGACCTGAGCAGGAAGCCATTGCGTTTCTCATCTTAGATCGAATATTTTTCTTCTGGGAATCAGTTATTTTTTCTTCTTGCCAATTTTGCAGGTTATCCTAAAAGTTGGGATGTTTGTAGCCAGTTAGGACAATCAGAAGGTTACCAGGACTTGGCCACTCGTCAAGAGCTGATGGCTTTTGCTTTGACACATTGCCCTCCTAGCAGCATTGAACTTCTTTTGGCAGCTAGCAGCTCTCTGCAGACAGAAGTAAGTGCCCCGAATAAAAGAAATCCTGAACTGTATGAAGTGCATTTTGTCGGGTGTGTGGATCTGAGAAGTGTGTGTGTTTTTTAGTAGTATGAGAATTTTAATTTATGGACGAAAAATAGGTTGCCACTTACGTGAAAAGGGGTTTGAAAATATTAGGATATAAAATACTGTTATTGGTGTTATTACAGTAAGAATACAGCATACTACAGTCAAGAATAAAACATGAGAAATGGTTATACAAAATATATCTGAAACCATATGAGTTAAAGCCAGCAGAGGCACCATTGCCTTAGGGAAGAGTCCTGTGGAAATTGGGGATGGAGGTGGGCTTTGGTTACAGAGATGCTGAATTTCCTAAAATTCACGGGCTAGATCTGCATAGGAGAGGATAGTGCCCTTGTTGAAAAACACTGTTAAATATTGAGGAGATTCTGGAATTTATGTTTTTGTCTCAGAGTCACTCATTACATTGTTTACCAGGGTTTTCACACTTGATTCCCACCTCTGAAACGGTTGCATCCTCCTACAGCTGTTCAGGAAGTTCTGAAGTAAGCCTATTGCTAAAAACTGTTCATTATGAAATAACATTTTTTTTGCACAGTCAACAGGTTTATGAAATAAACATTTTTTCCTCAAAAGAGTACTTACTAAATTTGAAGTCTGCCTTGTAAAGAGAGGCAAATTTAAAGACACAACTCCTTTATAATATAGCCTGTTCTTCTTTCAGATTCTTTATCAAAGAGTGAATTTCCAGATCCAGCCCGAAGGAGGGGAAAATATCAATGTTTCACCGTTAGTTGGCAAAATGGTACAAGAGGTAAGTTAAAATGAGGGAGAGGAGAGTTTGAAAAGTGGCTGAGTGAAATGAGAGGTCATGTGACCTCATGTGTAAGAGGAGTTTTGGGTATGTGTAGAGACTGCTTTTTTTGTCGGTTTTTTTTTTGTGTGTGTGTGTGTGAAATATAAACATTCATATAGAAAAGTATAGAAAACAAAAATTTTCAGCTAAATAAATTATCACAAAGAAAACACCCATGAAACCACCCGACAGGTAAAGGAACAGTACCTGACCAGCCTTCGAAGTCCCCCAGACCCTCTCCCAATTTAATATCTAACTCTTCTCTCTCCTTCAGCGATCACCACTGTCCTGACTCACCCTGATCACCAGATGCTTGTGATTTTTTGTTCTTGTTTTAAATAATTGTAATATCTACCATGCACACATACTCTAATATGATAGCTTAATTTTACCTGTTTTTGTAGTTTTTAGAAATAGTTATGCTCAATATTATGTTTGTAAGATTCATCCATGATATAACATGTAACTGTAGTTTATTCATTTTTATTGCCATGTAGGAATCGATTGTTGTATATATACATTATAGTTTATCCATTCTGACATTGACATTCGTTTATTTTAAATTTTGGATACTAAAAATAAAGCTATCTTTGTTTGTACATGTCTCTAGTGCACATGAGCATTTTTTTTTTTTTTAAGACATTTTCTTGTTCTGTTGCCCAGGCTAGAGTGCAGTGGCATCATCATAGTTCACATCAACCTCAAACTCCTGGGCTCAAGCGATCCTCCTGCCTCAGCCTCCTGAGTAGCTGGGACTATAGATGCATACCACCGTGCCTGTTTAATATTTTCTATTTTTGGTAGAAATGGGGTCTCACTCTTGCTCAGGTTGGTCTTGAACTCCTGAGCTCAAGCAATCCTCCTGCCTTGGCCTCTGAGAGTGCTAGGATTATAGGCCCGAGCCACCGTGCCTGGCCTCGGGCAAACATTTTTCTCAGGCTTATACCTAGTACCGGAAGTGTATGTTGTCAGATATGTTCAACCTAAATAGATAATGCCAAATGATTTTCCAAAGTGATTTTTGCCAATTACACTTTCAAACACCAGTCTATGGGAATGCCAGTTACTCTAATCCAGTATCTTGGTATTGTTAGCTTTCTAAATTTTACCTGTTCTCCTAAGTGTTTAGTGATATCTAATTATGATTTAGATTTACATTTTTCTGATTACTGATGAAATGGCATTATCTCAGGAGAGGTCCTCTTTTGTGAGGTACCTGTTCAATTCTTTTGCTCATTTTTCTGTTGGGTTTTTGTTCTTTTCCCTTTCTTTATTGAGATTTTTATGAATAAAAATTATCTGAGCCAATTAAGTATGTATATGTTTCAGGATAGTCTATCTTGAGAGAGAAAGAAGGAAGTATATGCCCCCTGACACCTGGCTTCTTGGTGAATGTTTGCTCAATGGGATTTAACTCTTCATAACTATTTATAGCAACATTGAATTGGCATTTTTTACATCAAAGACAATAGCCCAGTTTCTGACATTCTGACATTCTAGCTGGATAAATTAAGAGGTGATGATTCTGTTTATAGATTGGCTTTCCATAGATTCTGTCAAATGGTAAGCTTTATTTTAACAGTGTAAAATATTATTTCTTTTTCACTTTTTTGGAAAACACCTATTGTGATAAGTGAGCTGCACTAACCTTTATTTATTTATTTATTTTTAAGTTGGCTGTATCCATCTTAACAAACTTCTTAGTATTTGTGTACTATACAGTTACTTTTAGAACTTTGGTACAAAGCTTCAGCTGTGGAATCGGTTCATGGAGTTAGGGCATAGCTTTTGTCCGGAGTGGAATAAATTTCCACAACTCTTTCTTTGATATTAAAATTCAGTATGGCAAACGTATCAAGTATACGTGTGTATCCCCAGTTTAGTGCTAAGTGATCTAATAATCTCAAAGACGTCTGTAATGTGACTTTTTGCCCTTATGGAGTTTCTGCCTATTCCTCCTGCAGTGGTGACTCTAGGACAGCACTGACCAATAGTACTTTCTTAGGGAAGGGAAATATTCCATACCTGCACCGTCCAGTATTGTAGCCGCTAGTGACATATAGGTATTGGGCACTTGAAATATGGCTAGTGCAACTAAGGGATCAAATTTTTAATTTTGTTTAATTTTAATTAATTTAAATTTAAATAGCCATATGAAACTACTGGCTACTAGATTGGACATCACAGCCCTAGAAGATCGGACATTCAGTGGAGGATTGTGTTTGGCCACCAACACAGCAGAGAGAGGACTTTTGTTCCATTGCACCCTCTTCAGATCGAAGCTGTAGCATGTTCTAGGGGCCTAGAGTGGTGTGGATACATTTTGGCCTTTGGCATGCCTTGTAGTTGTACTGATTAATAACTATTTTCCCTCATCGAATGTGAAAACACATTGCATTCTATCGTATTTTCTCCATGGAATTCAGAGCAGTTCTTATATTAGCCAGTGGTCATGAAATGGATATTAGGAAGAGTTGTCTTTCAACTCTTGAAAAGTAGGTTGAAGAGCTACCTTTCATGAGATCTTTACCCCAAGTTTTGTACCTTTTGAACCTCTGATCCCTCCCCCACCTGACCAGTCACATCCCCCGCTCTGCCCTTCTCCAGCATCATCCCTTGCCTTGTCTTCCAAACACATGCTCTGTCCAGTAGTGGAGAACTTACCACCATTCTTCAGGTAGGCTCGTTCACACCCTTGGTGTTAGAGTTTTCTCTTTGCCTGTACTATGCTTCTTCTCTTTTGCTCTTATGCATCTCTCTTATCCCTTCCATCTGAAGTATTTTCTTTGTGAAGCTTTCCTAGAGTCCTTTAATTGCTATCTCCTTTATAGTCTCTAAGCATTCTTAGATCATTCTGTCCTGGCATTTTATGGTATGGTTTGGTATTGTATGGTAACCGGAAGTATGTCAGTTAACTTTGTGCCCGTTCATAGAGTGCTTCTTGCATAGTGAATGCCTCCTTAATGCTTGATAAGGCTCAGTTGGAAACACGTACTGCACAATGATGTCACTGGTAAAAACAAATTAGGAAGTAGAGTTTAGCCTAAAAATATAAGGAAATACTCATTTCATTCATGTATGTGCTGTGGTGGCTATTGAGGTTTTGTCATATCATGGCCAGTGTGAAGGGTCTATCATTTCTATGTTCAGTATAGAACTGCAGTGTGTTTCTGCTGAGCTCAGCTCCGTGAACTTACTCTGAATCTCCATCCTTCTTCATAAAATCCATGAAAAGCCTTTTGTGACTTTTGGGTTTTCTATTTTCTGTTTCTACAATGAATTAAGAAGTCAGCCTGCCCCCTTAGTGGCTTCTTTGGAGTGGGCCATGCTGTGGTACTGCATGTGGGCACATATTGCCCTATTAAAATCTCTTCAGTAGGTGAAGAAGACCACCAACAGTCCTCTACATGTTCCACTTAGCAAGGAAAAGGAATTCTTCCACAATGATTGTATTTTGCTGTTTTTTTAAGCTCCTTAAAAGCTTTCTTGTCTGTCTTTGTCCCCTTTCAGCATGTTGTAATAGATCTAGGTCTCATGAAGTGCTAATGCAAACCCTCAGTGAACACATTGTGACTGTGATTCATGAGGCACATTTCAGACTATTACGGCTACTATTATTAGATTAAAATATAGTGTTTAGCTAAAAGATGCCAGTATTACATATTAACAGTAGACATAATAACCACATTAAATTATAACTCATGAATGAGAGATGACTTTGTGTGTAGTCTACTTAAGACTTTCATTACTTCACTTGTGAAAATAATGATTTTTATTTATATATTCAAGAAAAATAAAGATATAATTGCTTTGCAGTTGCATTTACATTAGTGCAAGTGGAGGCTACAAGTTTGAAGATATTGCTGTTGTCCCTGTGAACAGGATGTTTGTTTATAAATAGAACAAAATGCATAATTTGTGAATAACTACCAAAATTACGGATTTCAAATTTCTTATTAATGTTGGTTATTATGCTTTTTAGATGGAACAGTGTTCCACCACTTAAAGTATATTAACATTTTGTTTAGCTAGTATTAGTTATATCATTTAGCCAATGATGTTTTCCCCAGATAAATCTAATTAGAGTTAGAAATAGATTGTATACAAGGTTCCCATTAAAAAATCATTTTCACCATGGGAAAGCTTGTTATGAACATTTTAAGTGGCTACAGATTTATATGACTGGACTAATTAATGTTTAGAATTTGAGCATGGGCTAAGCAGAGAGCTTAGCTTTTGTTTTGCTTACATCGTGGATACAAGTTCTTTATCAGATTTATGATTTGAACATGTTTCTCTCAATGTGTGACTTTGCTTTTTATTTTCTTAATGGTGGCTTTTGAGTGCAAAAGTTTTTAATGTTGTTTAAGTGTTGTTTGTTAATATTTTCTTTTATTGCTTGCGTTTTCAATGTTATATCTAAGAAATCTTTGCCTAACCCAAAATTGTGAAGATTTACTCCTGTGCTTTTTTCTGAGAGTTTTATAGTTTTTAGTTCTTAAGTTTATTGGTAAATAAGTAATAAAAAAGCCACTTTTATATGAAATAAGTATAGATTTAAGGGATATTCACATGCAGAAAGGTGAATTTAGAACTTTACCTCATACCACACATAAAATCCCAATAGAATCATATTTATTTTGTTTTCTTTTATGTCTCATGATAGGTTGTTCTTTCTTAATAATTTTAAATTTCATATTTAATATGCACAAAGACACAGATTAATCATTTTGAGGTTTTAAGTGAAATAATTTCATTCGGAGTGAATTTTTGTTTCATTTATTGCTTTATTGATTTTTTTTTCCCCATGTGTTTGGAATTTTGGTTTGCAAGCTCATTTTAAATGATGAAACATCACCCTGCCCCACATCCCATATCTAAGGATTCTGTAGTTTTTGTGGTTCCTTCTCTATCTAATCCCTTGGTGCCTTAGTCCAGAACTACATCCTACAGTAGTT